CGTACGGAGATTGCCGAAGCTACACGAACTCGTAACGTTACGAGTCCGACTCGCAAAAGCCGAGTCAAGAAACCGAACTCATACGGAGAAAGCCGAACCTTAACGAACTCGGGACGTAACGAGTTGACTCGAGTATACTCGCACTCGCTTTCGGCCAATAGCGTCACAGCTTTACGAGTCAACTCGCATAGATTCAACGCTATTGGCCGGTACCGAGTCGGCCGACTTGCAAAACTAACGAACTCGTACGGAGAATGCCGAACTCACACGAACTCGGAACGTCTCGAGTCGAGTCGAGTCGACTCGTAAAGCTGACACGCTATTGGCCGGTACCGAGTCGGCCGACTCGCAAAACTAACGAACTCGTACGGAGAATGCCGAACTCACACGAACTCGGAACGTCTCGAGTCGAGTCGACGAACTCGTACGGAGAATGCCGAACTCACACGAACTCGGAACGTCTCGAGTTGAGTCTGACTCGACTCGTAACTCGAGTTCACGGCAGTTGGCGAGTCGAGTCACTCGAGTCAGGAAAGTACCCGACTCGTCACATCACTAACTGGGGAGGGTCGGGTCTGATAAGCCGTCTATTGTTCACTTCAACCCTCATTAGTGCCGCTCGGCTGCACTCAGTGGGGAACCCAATACCACAAATCAATCTTTTAAATGAATAAACATATTTGGTAATAATTGTTTTATTGATATTCACCTTGAAATTCCAATAAATTTGGTGTAAAATTTGACAAAAACCTGCCAATTTATTAATACATTACCAATCAAGTACATTGGTAATTAAATAATAGGTAAAAATTAACCGATTTTCGTCAAGTTTTACCCCCTGCTGTGCTATGTCACAAAAGCTGATAACGACATGGGCAACTAGGCAACTTGTTGAATGCGTGATGAAGGGAAACCCAAGAAATAGAAGAACAAAGAGAAAGTATAATGACGTTGTTATCTTTATACCCTTTTTACAATTGCTGTTATTGTTATTATCTTTATGTAAGATTTTATGATTCTGTTTTATAGGTTTATAAAATAATTCTTTTTAACCACGGGAATATCAATTTATAATTTACCAACGTGTTTCTCCTGAAACAGCAATACCGGATGTATAACAAGGTCAATGACCTAAAATATCTTGATTGTGCAATATTGTATTTTGATGTTGAAATTCAAATCATGACAAAAGTTTGTATATTTCCCCTGGCCCCTATCATTTAATCATTTAATATACACAATCAATACTAAATAATCGTGGTTAGTTCTAATTTTATTTTTGATTATTCAAAGTTTCTACACAATAAGACAATCCAAAGTCAAACCGGGCAATGAATACTCGAAAAACAACTTATCTTGTCCTGTGATTGGAATACCACTCGCCAGTCCTTTAGATTTATTCTCTGTATATACACTAACTTGGCGTCTGGACCCTTGACTACCTGCGACCGGGCCGGGACCGTGGTTGTGTCCTGATTGCGAACAGTCCAGATTGCGAACAAGGGTAAAATCGTCCAGACTGCGAACACCTCAAAAATGCTGTGGACTACCTGAACATGAGTCGTCCAGACTGCGAACATATACATATTTTGGAATCTGTAAAGATGGTTTAGTAGCTGTTGTTGAACGTGAGTTTTAATTGCTTGTTGAGTTGGGAATGTGATTGAATGATTGATGTTGTAATGTGTAATGCATATACATGTTATTTCGGATGTAAGATGTATGTAAGTATGGTATTTATTTTAGTTTCTATTTAAATTGCTCGTTGACGATGTTTTTTTAGGTAATGATTGAGTTTGGAATGTGATATTGGCAAATGCATGATATTTCGGCTAATTATGTTAAACTATAGTCAGTTTCTCTTATATTAATATGTGAGGCTATTTTTGTGAACAAAACTTCTCCGTTATTTCTGGACCGATTTTAACGTTTGAGGTGTCAAATAATTCGTCTCAATTTGTAGTACTGTATTGCATAAAGGTTTTATAACTAAAAAACTCTTACCCTTAAGGGCACGAGACGCTATCAAAGGTCGCATTTTCCCCATAAGAATTACATTGAAAACAAATTTAAAAACAAAAACAACTGTATATAAAAAGAAACTCACCAGCTTTTTGGGAGTAAATATTGATGTTTTTAATATTTATGAGGTAATAGAAAAATCTAAACAGTCAATCAGTTTTGTTGGAAGAACTCTTGAGTTTAAAGGAGAAATGTTGAAAACAGGAGGAGGAGACAATTAATAGGAAATCTTATACGAATAAGAAGAGTAGAGGAGAGGCCTGGTCTCGAAGTAAGGAATTCAGGTACACACTCACTTGGGGAGATGAATCATTTTTGTCATTTATGCTAAGCAACTTAAAAACATGAAGAATATACAACAGATGTTGTCACAGTGATAAAGTAAACCTACCTAAAGTCCGATCAAATAAATACATGCAAGAAATGTTTACTGGTTAAAAGCTTTAAGTCGGGAAACATTTGTAGAAAACACTAAAAATTAAGGCCGGGTCCAAAAAATGCTAAAATACAAGAAGCGTTTATTATTTCAAAGAGCTATTTAATAGCGTGAGTATTACAATTAGTCACATAAGCATTTAGTCGGGTCTTTTAAACTCATCGAAAATTATTACTGTTATTACTGTAGTTTTAAAATAACTTCTGTACCTATAATTCCGGCACTTGACAGTTGCTCGAACTAGTTCATATGAAATGATTGTTTTATTTCTTTTACTCTGAGATTGTTTAGTAGTTGCTTGTTCAAGTCAAACATATTATAGTTAATTTTAAATAAACAGCCACTTTAAATACCTATTATCAGAACGAATTTGTGCGTCTGGAAGAATCTGTCTGTTAATAAGGGGCTTTACCTATAATTATACTACGTCTCATAAAGATGTGTGTCTTCAAGAACATTCATCCTTTCCATTATGTATATTACCAGTCTTAAGTTGTGATTTAGGCTAAATCATTCTGTTAAGGGTTTCTATGAAAGGGTTGAAAACCCCGACCACTCAAAATGTGTTCGCAATCAGGAATCCTCCCCACCCCACGGACGACCCCCTCCACCTCGTAGACCCAAACATGTTCGCAGTCTGGACTGTTCGCAATCAGGACTGTTCGCAATCAGGAGAACACCGGGACCGTCCCTTGCTCGCTCACTTCTTGAGCAGCTGTTTCCATAATTAGTCACCAAGTCACACCCCTAATGCACTTATTAACTTTTTTGTGCGGGGCGGAATTTTACATTTTTATCTGTACGAGCAAAAAGTCCATGAATAAATAAGTAAAATGATACCAAACTTGACCATATTCTTATTACGTTTGTAGAACCTACAGGCATAAGTATAGTAGCTACTGAGGAATAGAAACTTTATCAGGGATAGAAATAAAACTGTAATATCGTTATGTATGAATTATCTTTAATTAAATGAGACGTGCACCGCGAATCTGCAAACACAAAAAAGGAATAGTGATTTATATATTTAAATTTCCTAATATTGTTACGGGAATAAAGTTTAAGAAGTAAAACGTGTTGAGGCGATGTAGTTTGTCCCAACCTAATTCATATTATGTTTCTTTGAGTAGATCTAACCAATCACATTTAAGTATATTGTAAACGTGAAAAAGATCTAACCAATCACATTTAAGTCTATTGTAAACGTGAAACACTTTTAAACCGTACGTTTCATTAAGTATACGTAATATTATGTGTTAAAAGGTAAAAAAACTAATCGTAAATGCGAGCGAAAGTAGCATTTGGCATGAAAAGTCAAAATTGCGTCATTTTGTACGGGCCAAATGAAACTTAAAATAATCATACAATCATCATGTTTCTAAGGATAGGGCAATTGTCGATAAAAAATTACAGAATTATGTGTATGTGTTGAGTAAATGTTTTTAAGCTAATTAAATTTTTGTGGCCTACGACGGGCCTACCGTAGTTTTTCGGCAGATTATACATATTTCATCAATAGCATTTCAATACGCGATTAATCTAATGACGATACCCCCACGTCAGAATCGTCAGAGGTCTTAGGACGTGAATCACTAATTTCCCGGAAGACATGGGGGTTGGTATGGTCAAGTTTAGTATCATTTTTCTTAAAATTTCACGAACTTTTTGCTTGTGCAGAAAAAAAATTAAAATTCCGTCCCGCACAAAAAAGTTCATAATTGCAGTGGAGGGGCTACTAGGTGACTAATTATGGTAACAGCTGTTCAACGGGGGCGAGAAAGGTTTCGGCCCCGGTCCGTCCGCAGGTAGACTAGGGTTCAGACGCCAAGTTAGTGTATACAGAGAATAGGGAAGTAGTGCAAGTCTATATATAGCTTCAAGGTCGTACCCACCCCTTCCCTGCTCTTGGCCTACTCGACTCACTGTTGCTACCCGTTACCCGGGCTCCTTTCGAGGTCATTGCCCAACCCCTCCCACCCTTCTATTGTGTTGCCTTTCTATTGTTTCTATTCTGACTTTTTTCGGGAAACATTAAATCTATTGTTTAGGTAACAGCACATAAGTAGGCTAGATTTTTATGATTTAAAACAGTACTGTAAAAAAAACTATTACGCATAGCGCCCCTAGTATCAGGAGACAAGCACGAGTTGACCATGGAAGTTCTTTTCTGCTTTATGTATGTTCGTTCCAGACGAATCTAATCGTAAAGCAAAACAGCTGATAACGTTCCAGACGAATCTAATCATAAAGCAAAACAGCTGATAACGACTAAACTAGACATCGGTATTGCATCATACGGCTTCTTTGTCCTTTGCTGTTACGTCGTCGTCGTTGGAAACGTATTGCTGTAATTTTGTCCAGGGAAACTAATGATGGTTATGAAGATTTAGTTTTCTGTCCAAAACGTCAAAATATGTTGTCTATCCGAAAAAAGTCGGATATTTAACTGATAGTATCGGATATCAAATTTAGGCTCACTTGTGAAGTTAAACGGGGCAAAGCCCGCGGGTACAGCTAGTAGGTAATGAAAGGAATGAGGGCATTTGCAAAAAACATATTTATTATTTTAATGCACCACTTCTTCAGACATAAAAAAAGATAGTACAAACAGTGTAATACAAAATTAATTAATGTGTTCATAAGTGATGATAAGGCATGTCATCAACATTGCCCCAAACTGATGGAAAAATGAACAATATTTCTCAATCAATATACTTCCTTTAGGCTGATAATGAGACACAATTAATTAATCAGTCTACATCTTTATCAATGAGATAGCTCCTGAAAAGATTTAATTTCAATCACTGTCAGAGTCGCCGCCAGATTCGTTTTCACTTGTAGGTGGTGTACTTTCTTCTGGTTCATCAATTTCATCATCTTCACTTTCAGTCTTTTTACTCTTATCTTTCTTCTCTTCTTTTTTAACCTCTTTCTCTTCTTCTGACTCGTCATCTTCTCCACTACTGCTATCACTCTTTTCCTTTGATTTTGCTGCTGGTTTGCTTCCATTTTTCTGGAAAAGATTAATAAATAACCTATTAGCATGGGTAACATAAAACATTATCTTGTTATTACAGTAGAACCTATATTAACCATCACCCTCGGGACCGGGAGCCTGCCAGATAACAGAAATCCTGTTATAAACCTGTACATACAGTAAGTTGATTTAAAAAAGGTTTTGGAAGAAATTAACTCCTGTACAAGTGAATAATACATATTTAAATTAATTAAATACAAGAGTAATACAGAACAATTATTTTGTATGTTATACTTGTTCAATGTTCATACAGTGAAGTAAAAGCACATACTATATAAAAATAATCCAAGTACTCTTATAGCAAGGTGACAGATAACAGAGAGTGACAGTTAGACTAATCGAGGTTCTACTGTAGTTTCAATACAACCTGAAGGCCTATGGCTGCCATACCCCAATTCCTCTTTTGCATCACCCGCCCTGCAAGGGGTGCTAAATAACATTCGCCTGGACACCAAGAGACCTTGATACGCATCTGTCTCTAAATACACAAATTGGATTTTGGCTTTTGTGTGCTGCAGTTTAGAAATAATAGTAATTGCAACTGATGTTTTGCATTTCCTGCATCCGATAAAGATGAGGAAGAGGAGGGAGTTACGGCGGTTTTCAACCGTAATGGGTCGGTTGCTGATTTTATTAAGGTTCGGTTTCGGTTAGGTTTTTTTTTAGAAAAATCGGTTTTTGGTTGTTGGTTTTTGGTTTTTACCCAAATCACTTATTTAAATACAATTTGTCTCTCTACTCGTGCAAAGATAGTACACATGTTTAAAAATTAAAACTGTAACTTAATTCATGCGAGGGCCATTATATTTTGAAGCAAGATTAGATTAGACAACATACCCTAACTTCAATACCTTATGGTAAATATGGGTACAATTCATAATAATTGTCTTATTTTAAAATTTAAGGCTATCCAGAAAGCGTGCCGATCTCGTACATTTTGGTGCGTGCACACTCGGCAACTCAGTCGGCATCAAGCCGTGACAACGGGAGCATTCTCGCGCAATTTCACAATTTCAACTTATGATAAGCGCTGCGATTAAAAATCCCGCCAGTTAAGAGGTGCGGTCAGTAATACGGTTTTTGTTGGAAAGAACTTAAAACCAAATCTTCTCCTAAAGTTTCACAGACTTTGTTGTTTGAAAGAAATTGTCATACAACAAAGCAAAAGCTCCGTAATCGGGAATCGGCGCTTTTCATGAACCTAGGAGGCTGTTATATCCTTTAATCAGGATATAATCCTTTAATGAGGCTGTTAGATCAACTTTAACGACCAGTTCCATCAGTCACAATGCTCGGGCGTCCGCCTTTCGCTTTGTCATGTCTCATGAGCCTCAGATCGGTAATTTTTAATCTGAATGCACCATTTTCTCAGAACTTTCATTCATATCATTGTTTCCTTACGGTAAAAACCGTATCACTAACCCACCTCTTAACTGGCGGGATTTTTAATCGCAGCGCTCATCTTAAGTTGAAATTGTGAAAAAACGGGCAGCGCGAGAATGCTCCCGTTGTCACGGCTGGACACCGACTGAGTTGCTGAGTGCGCACGCACTAAAATGTACGAGATTAGCAAGTGCCTAGCAGCGTCAGAACTAAATGTTCTTTACTTTCTGGATAGCCCTCATATTTTGTTGTAATGTTGTTGACAACTGTAATGATAGTTATTGGAAACATCAGTATTGTCTACAAATTTTTATTTAAGAACACCAACATCTTTACTCATTCCGTATGTAACCTGTTTACATTTGATACTGGGTCAACAATTATTTCCATTGAAATGCAACAAAATATAAGTCAACAGGAGCAATTAGAAGTAGATAAATAACTCACAACAAAAAGTCAGAGTCATATAGTTTTACCTCAGGCTTGATTAAATTTTCTTAGTATATGTTACAGCTTATACAAAGAATCAAAATACCTAGGCCTAGGCCTAATTATTTAGGAGGGCTATATAAATTGTTTGGGTAACAAACAATGAGGTTATTAAACTATTAATGTCACTATCATTATTTTGCTTACTTTGACCCTGACCAATTAACTAGAATCGAGCTAATTATTGTTAGTTGCCAAGATTTCCACTAAAGAACTTACTTTTGATTTTTTGTCAGAATCACTATCACTGCTGTCACTTTCAATGAACTCTTTGCTGATATATTTAGTTCCGCTGCCCATGTCACCAGCTGATGCTGATGACTTCCTTGGGGATGACTTGGGCTTCTTAGACGACTTCTTGGATTCCGAGGGAGAAGATGTTGCTCCACCACCAGTTGCTTTATACTCTTTCATAGCTTCTTGATACTCCTCTTTCAACTTGGCTACTTTGTCCTCATATTCCTTCAAAAAATCAATTACGTAATCAAACAAACTGTTTTAGAGGTGATGAAAAAAAAAACAATAAAACTCTTAGAGAGTAACCAAAACATAATTCCAATCCATAAGCCTGGTTTACACGGGTCGAGTACGGCGGGCAAGTCAGTATGCGAGTTGCCACTCGCTCTCTGCAGGCGAGTCGAGCAATGGGCGAGTCGGTAAAAAGAGGTCAGTTGAGAGCGATTTAGCTGAAAACTGAGTTGCTCGGCCCAGTTATTATCCCCACCACCATGAATTGCCCCCGAAACATCTGTTTACTGCTGTCAAGTGAGTCCAGCAACCACAGAATTAAATATAAATTTTGTATTCCGTGGTCGCTTGGTGAGTCAGTATTGTATTGAGGTTAGTTCAGTGTAGACCTACACACTCGACACTCAATGCTCAATGGTTCAGTTGAACAGTTGGCCCTGTATTGCATTGTCTTGCTGTACGTAAATCTTCTCTTATAAAATTCAGTTTTAAAAATCTTTGTACAACAAAAGATCTACAGTGCTACTGGACCGGATCTATTAATCAATGGGTCGTTAGAAAGCTTACTCCCTAAACATTCAAGTACTGAGCGAGTTAAACAAATCAACAACGGGGCCTAGTAACTGGGCCCCTCTGCAAGTAAATATAACACACGCTTTCAAATTAACCTTCCTAGACATAATTTAGAATTCTACACCAAAAAACCTTCATATACAGGAATAAAATTTCTTCAAAAATTACCCATTTTACTTAAAAAAGAAAATAATACAAACAGATTCAAAAGCCAACTAAAAGACTTATTGATAAGAAACCCATTTTATTCTAACAAAGAATTTTTAAATAGTAATTTCAAAACGTTCATTTGAATTCCAGATACTAACTAGTTTTACTCTGACGTAATCGATTTTATAATTTGTTTAAATAATAACACTTATTTTTAGTTTTACTATATAGATCCTTTGTAATGAATTACTTTAATTATTTAGTTTATAATTTTTTCTTTATGTTAGTTTAATGACGCTATTTAAGACATATTGTCTAAACTTGAATAAAGAATATTTGATTGATTGATTGGGCCAAACAACTTGCCTGGCATACTCGACCCGTGTAAGCCAGGCTATAAGGTTAACGTTGACATGACAATATATAAGGCAAATGCTTGTTTTGGAATGTAGTAAAAAATCTCTTTATATGTTTTGCCAACAATTAACAATATAGTCATTCATTGACCTTAGATGTGTACTAGGGATGGACGGGTCCCGAAATTTTGGGAAATAAAAATATTCCCGATTTTCGGGACGGGATTACATTTGATTCGGGAATTTTTCGGGACGGGATTTGGTCCGATCGTCGGCGATTTTTTTTGCCGCTTCGCGAGTGACGATAACGCCGCTATCGCGAGAGATGTTCCGCGAACGCAGGAGGCGAAGTCATTTCGACGATCGCGCCGTGACAGCGGAGTCATACCGACGATCCTGCCGATACCGCGAGTCATACCGACGATCGCGCCGTGACCGCGGAGTCATACCGACGATCCTGCCGTGATCGCGAGTCATACCGACGATCATCCCGTGATCGCGAGTCATACCGACGATCATTCCGTGACCGCGGAGTCATACCGACGATCATTCCGTGACCGCGAGTCATACCGACGATCACCCCGTGACCGCGGAGTCATACCGACGATCACCCGTGACCGCGGAGTCATACCGACGATCACCCCGTGACCGCGGAGTCATACCGACGATCACCCCGTGACCGCGGAGTCATACCGACGATCATTCCGTGATCGCGAGTCATACCGACGATCACCCCGTAACCGCGGAGTCATACCGATGATCGTGCCGTGACTGCGGAGTCATACCGATGATCGTGCCGTGACCGCGGAGTCATACCGACGATCACCCTGTGACCGCGGAGTCATACCGACGATCACCCCGTAACCGCGGAGTCATACCGATGATCGTGCCGTGACCGCGGAGTCATACCGACGATCACCCTGTGACCACGGAGTCATAACGACGATCGCGCCGTGGCCGCAGAGTCATGCCGACGATCACCCCGTGACCGCAGAGTCATACCGACGATTATTCCGTGACCGCGGAGTCATACCAACGATCACTCCGTTACCGCGGAGTCATACCGATGATCGTGCCGTGACCGTGGAGTCATACCAACGATCACCCTGTGACCACGGTGTCATAACGACGATCGCGCCGTGACCAGTCATACCGACGATTACGCTGTGACCGCGGTGTCATACCGACGATCATTCCGTGACCGCGGAGTCATACCGACGATTACGCCATGACCGCGGAGTCATAACGACGATCGCACCGTGACCGCGGAGTCATACCGACGATCATTCCGTGACCGCGAGTCATACCGACGATCACCCCGTGACCGCGAGTCACATGTTCCAATAGGTACCTGTAAATTGTTGTAACCAAACCATTTTTTGATTTTATAGATAGTAACACAAACGGTAAAAATTGATTTCGTTTGTCTTTTTTGGTAACTGCAATACTCAAGACTTTCTTTTTATGCACAGGAAAAAATCCCGTCCCATCCCGTCTCGAAAATCGGGAAGGAAATAAAAATCCCGTCCCGAACTAAAAATTCAATCCCGTCCATCCCCAATGTGTACTGACATGATTGAGGGTAAATAAAAAGTCGGCCTAGAAAAAAAACTTGTTTTGTCATAGTTATTTCTGAAACTGTGATGTGATTTTCAGCCAGTGGAGGGCTATTTAAGTGTCTGACTGCAGCAGGTCTTTACATAATGTCATTCAATGAGAGCACAATATTAGGGGACATTGAATTTTGGGTGCTGTATCAATTAGGCTTATAAAGTGAAAGCAACAAAAAGAACTAAATTAGCTAAAGGTAAAAGGTGACTTTAGAAGCCAAAACAAGGAATTAATACTACCTGCACCTCATCACCATTAATTTAGCATTAACCACATAGATAAAAAAAATTAACCTCCACTAAAAAAAGATTGGCAATCATTCCACACTCTTTAACACATTCACTGCTAATGATATGTAATACTTTTATAAATGGCTAAAAAACATAAACATTAACATGATCATGTTAATTGAGTGACAATATATCTTTAATTAAATAAATTTTATACTATAAATTGTGGATTAAAATATATTATGTAATTATATACATCATGTATTATATATCTGCTAATATACTTATGACGCACATGTGCGTCATTAGCAGTGAACGTGTTAACTGTTTTTTTACAGACTATGAGACACACTAACTGCTGCAAACCAAGGTACTCACTGGCAATTAAGTTAGGTAGGTGTCTCTTTTTTCCAACAAGTAATTTCTGTGTTGTTATTCATATGTGTTTATTAACATATGGTGTTAGAATATTATTTGTTTAGTTTTTGTTGGTAAACATTCTGGATCTTGATTTTATTGTAAAAACTACCTAATAAAGTATTTGTCTCATTGAACTATATTTTAATTTAACTTGCGATAACACTACATGGTGGCAGCGGGTTTTTTATTGTTTTAGCAATACAGTACATAAAGATGAAAGGTTTTAGTGTTCCTTCCCCAGAACATTTTGATTTTAAAGGAGAAAACTGGTCTAAATGGAAAACCCGTTTCTTGCGCTTTCATGCGGTATCTGGGCTCACCAATGAAGAAGAACCATATCAGGTAAACACCTTACTATATATGATGGGCGAAAAGGCCGAAAGCATATTTGAATCATTTAACCCTCCAAGTGTCCATAGTTTAGGCCTTAATGTCCACCTATTTTTGGCGCATTTGCAAGGTTTTATTAAAACGGATCTGAGAAGCTTAAAACAATGTTAATTCTAATGTTCTATATACCATTTTGTTTGGAAAATCATGGGCTTCAATATTATATATAAAACATAAGGAACATTTTTTCAAAAAAAAAATTTTTAGGTAAAAAAAATATAATTTCGAAAATTTTCAAAAAAAAAAAATAAGTTCGCGCTCAATGAAATTGTATAAATTATAGGCCTATAAATATTTGAAAATAGCCACTTTGTTCTAAATTTTATGAGGATTACAAATATATAATAATATAAGGAAGTAGATATGCAAATAAATAAGTTATGGGCAAAAAACTGATTTCAGTACATAGCGTTTAGCTAAGAATGCATAGCCTAACCATAGCTAGGAATCTGGCTGATAATTTACATCAATATCACTACCTACTTCTTCAGGATCATCAACCAGCACTTCAAAACCACTTAAATCTTCTTATAATGCACCACGTATATCACTACTTTTGATTTTTAACACTAAAACAATGATAAACGTAATAAAACACATCAGTCATCGGTCCGGGGGAACCTAGCTGTTTACAAATACACGCACGTCAGCTGTCTGCTACAATATTTTCGGAACTAAAATGAATAGCGCTTAGAGACAGACCTCTGGAGAAAGCTTAGAATATTACGGAAAGAACGATACCTAACTCGATCCAGTTCAATCCGATTCAGTCAGTCATAGAGCCTTCGCCGTAAACGATGTCTGCGTGTCGAAAAATCGACAAGTAACACTACAAAAAGTGTGCTGCTTGTCGAATTTTCGTCAAGTAACACTGGGAGGGTTAATTTGACATCTGAGGAAAGTAAAAGTTTCAAGACTGTTTTAACAAAATTTGATACATATTTTGCTCCTTCTAAGAATGTAATCTATGAGAGGTACATGTTTCATACTAGGGTTCAACATGAGGAAGAGCGTGTTGAAAGTTTGATTCATGATCTTCATGAGATGGCTTCTAGATGCGATTTTCCTGCTTCTTATAAAGATGAGGCTATACGAGATCAACTTGTTGTAGCGATTAGAGACAAAAGTTTATCTGAAAAACTACAAATGAATGCAGATCTAACACTTAATTCTGCTGTCTCAAATGTTAAGCAAGCCGAATCGGTTAAAATGCAACAATCATTAATGAGGTCCATGTCTTCTGAACATGCACTAACTGCAGATA